TATAGTCAGTCTACACTATCCTTCAATTTTTTTTTATAGCAAAAACAGAAAATTAACTCAAATTTTGTCTGTTCTAAAATTAGGGTTCTTTTCAGAAATATTAAAGAATATAAGAAAAAAAGTGCAGAAAAATTTGGGCAAGAAAGTCTGGTGGTGAAAAGGTTAATGTTAAAAATTCATCAAAATCAAGCATTTCTGCCATTCTGGAACTGTTTATCCTCGGGGGCGGACATCCCGGCATTTTCTACCGCCTGGCAACCCTCGCGGTGAAAACAAAGACAAAAACTCGCAGAAAACGATACTTTGCGATGGTTGTTGAGAGTCCCCTGAACAGTGTAATAAGATTAGCCCTACGTGTGTAACATATATGAATTTGGTTGTTCAGGATTACCTCAACGTTGAGTTTGTGTTGTTTTCTTGAATGTTCACCGGCTCGACTGGCGTTCCACAGCAGCGCGCACAAAGCCCATAGAAATACGTGGTACAGTGATGCGCGTCTTAGCAACGTAGAACGTCCGTGACGTAGCTCCGCCCCCGAGGATAGCCTGGTTACCTTCCTATTATTTCACATACATGTACTAGTCTGAAAACGTTGGTGGCCATTTTGTCCTTGCCCATATTATATTAATATGAAAGGCAAAAATATGGCTGGCTGACGCCCATTTTTTATGTAAGAGCACTAGAAATTGGTTGGTATGGTGATCATACATATTGGGTTATAGTTGCATGTCATATTTTTTCTGTGATTCAAACTAATATGGCTGACTGGTAGCCAGTTTGTTTTTCATGATACCCAGTTTTACTTTTCCATGAATGCAATGAACATTTCTGTTTAAATTTTGTACAAAGACAGTATACCAATAGATACATCAACATGAACATTATTTTTGTAATTTGATTCAATATGACTGCCCAATGTCCAATTCTCGTGTAAAAGCACTACATCATAATTTTCTACAAATCCATCTCCTATTAATGGTTTCAATCTAATCTCAATGACTTCATCAGCATCAAATTGATGTGTCAGATCACAAAATTTGGGACAGGGACTGTGTCATTAACAATGACTTGTTATCTTCAAATTTTATATATGCATTATACATCATGGTAAAGATATATAGATGTCATTTTTATGTTCCAACTATATTACTATAAACAAAACTATATATCTTAAATTTGATAACTAACGAGGACTGTGCCATGCATGGCTTGTTTAATTAGGGGCGCAAGCCCGAAGGGCTAGGCCCCTATTGTTATTGTTCGTTTTTTTCATTTTTCCTTCTTTCTGACGTAATTTTCTTTCGTCAAGTTGTTTGAGAAAACCGATGAACGGAATAGTCTGAAATGTTGCATACTTTGTAGTCTCTATTGTGAACTGGTGCATAAGACTTTTAGAATTTTGATTGGTCAATTAGTTCGGCAGCCATATTGGATTGAAGTTAAACAGGAAGTGGGTATTTGACCACTTTCTGAGGGTCTAGGCGATCAGGGTTTTTTATGGCATATAGTACAACTCATGTGTAATAGATATATGAAAAAAATTCTAAACGTAAACCTCAACTTTTTCCGCCATGTTTTTTCTCCCCAAAACGGCAAAAACACTTAAAAATCTTCTTCTTCAGAACCGCTGAGTAAAATGCTCTCATATTTAGTACTTAACTTCTATATATGAAGCACATTTCTGTTTGAAAAAAATGTTATGATTGGTCACATGGTTTGACCGCCATTTTGGATTTCTTCTAGATCAAGCCACAATTATGTGATCATCTTCTAATCAGCTAAATTGCAGCTCTATAGTGAACTCTTTCAGATATCGAAGAAAAAAATTCAGATTAGTCACATGGTTTGGCCGCCATCTTGGATTTTAGGTAAAAATGACCAAAAGTTTGGCCATTTGTTTTTCAAAGGTGCTTCAACCTATCAACTAGATATGTTGTATATATCATGTTTGGCCATTGCTCCATTTGAAACAAATAATATAGTTTTCATCAGTCACATGATGTGGCCGCCATCTTGGATATTGTGCAAACAGAAATTGTTCAATTATATGTGTTGTATTGGTCCAATTGGAATAAAATTGTGTGCGTGTATTCTTTCCCCTGAATGGCATATGCATAACTGCTATATCTTAAACACTGTTGTAGTTAGGAAGATGAAACCTTCTGAATTATGATGAAGTTAAACGAGACATTTGACTAAAATAACAAATGACCATATATGGTCATGTGAACTCATTAATATGCATAACTGTCATATCTGAAACACTGTTGTAGAACGAGACATGCAACCAGTGCTATAATGAAAACATCAAACAAAAGATGTAACTGACATAAAACAATACCATTTATGATTATGTAACCTCATAAATATGCATTACCACATGGCTCATTATATATTCTCAAAAGCATATTTTGATAACCAACATTGAACCAACTGCATGTTATTTTGACCTCATTATTTATGGAATATAAATGTATGCTCCAAAGCTTGGGCCCCGGTGACGCCGCTTGCAGCTTTAATTTGTCATTGTTATCATCATTGTCATCAGTGGGTTAGCAGTGTTCTCTACATGGGGTTCTACCTGGACGACCTTCCCACTGAGTTTTATGGTGGTCCAGTGTCTGTTAACACCTTGCCCACCAACATACTTCTGCCAGCTGAGCAGTTGTCATTGTTATATTATGGTTTGTGAACAGCTAGCTGTGTTCTTCCCTAGCCCTCATAAAATAGTAGTTTCCTATCCCTTTTCGCTGTCAAAAAATAAACAATCATGGTTGGAAGTCTGCAATCAGTTTATTCCTGTTAAAACAGCTAAACAGTTTTTTTCCATGTATCGATTGTGTAAATTCCCTTGTGTGTATCAAACTATCCATATGCTTTGGTGTCTTGGGCTTTCTAATCTCTAATCTGTAATTTTAATCTCTAATTTTCACTTTGCATAACAATTAATTAATAAAATATCACTTTGCATAACAATTAATTAATAAAATAACACTTTGCATAACAATTAATTAATAAAATAACACTTTCTATTGTGTAAATTAAATACAGGT